TTACTCTGGTGATGAATCCGTAAAACAAAGATTTAATATTGATGAAAACATTCTAAGATTGAAACTCTTCGATATCTTTATTCGTCTCTCGGTTTTTGAACTCTCTTTGGAAAGAAGAAGGACCTTTACTCACCCTGATTAATACATGATGTCATCTCTGGCTTCACTATTGGGAGCTGCCATTTTGTCCAACTTAAACAGGGTGACAGGCATAACCTACCTCAGCCACAAGGTGGCGGCATGCTGCTGAGCGGTGATGAACAGTAGTTCCTCAAAGGACCACTAGATGCTCCTCCAAGGAAAACGAAACAAATTTAGAAATTCAAGTCAGTTGTTTGAACTTCAGGCTCATTAACATTGAGCTGAAGACTCCACCCACCTTCAGTGAAGGAGTAATGAATCTTCTCCAGGGAGGTGGAGTTAAATATAGTGGTGATAAATATAGGCAGCAGCTGGTCGAGAGGTTTAGACAGTGGGGAGTCCCCTTCATTCTTCATCCTCCATCCATTCACACTCTCTTCCTCTCTCTTCGGTTTGGTGTGATCATCAGTTCTGAAACTTCAGGATCGTTCTGGCTTCAGATGCATTGTCAGTGTCAGTGGACAGTATCCAGGTGGTTCGTTGTCTAAAGCTCAAGATGTTTCGAGTCATGTTCACAAGACGATGAAAGTTCATTGGTTTAGACACTATTTGTCTCTAAGAGTCTGAAGGTGTAGTTCTTCTAACTGCCACTAGAAACTGACTTCAACAAAAATGTACACGAAACTGCAAAATTCTAAAATCCTCTCCGGAAACCCATCCATCAGTTATCTATACCACTCGTCTGTTAAGGGTAAGGGAGGACTAGAGACGTGTTCTTTCAGCCATGCTCCATTAAAGATAAATCAGAGAATCAGATTCAGACTAATTTCCAGTTTTTAAACCAGCTGCGTTATTGTGGTGTTATGGGAATCACACCCTCATACAGTCAATATCCAACCAATCATGAGCTGATTCTCACTGTTTCAGATGATGACTTCACGATGTCTGTGCTCTGACTCAAAGTTTGCTCATGTCCTCTCGGGCTTCCGTCCATTTTGCTGACATGGAAGGACCTGGTTCAAGAGACGAACCAACGTGGCAGCTAAGGTATTCGTATAAAGAATGCTTCTCGGAAAGTGGGAATGCCAAAAAAGCTGTGACATGGAGGGAGAAGAGGGAACAAGTGAAAAGGTGGCGGTTGATGGATGGATGATGGAGGAAAAGCCAGGAGGTGGAGTTCCATTCCTTTTAATACACTCATCTCCCAAAGAGGCGCAGGGAGTCACTTTACCCTCGCTGTATTTTTAGCAGCAGAGAACACAGAGTGAGGCTGGGATCCATGTCACTCTTCATCCAGCTCACCCATTAACACGGACATTCCTACAAGATCCATTTCCATTTTTAAATTGTTTGATTGGCGAGAGGTTCATGGGTTCATGTTTCTTAAGGCCTTCAGGAGTTTGACATGACTTCTCTGAACAAGTTGGAAGAAGATAAACTTGAAATGAGATCTCAACTATTTTTTCCAGTCCGGTCACTCACTTTAAAACACAGAGATTGATCCCTCCCTCCCTCCTGTGGACTCCAGTCCTCCCTCCCTCCGTCTCCCAGCAGGGTGGAGTCAGTTGATCTGACCAGTTTCAGGGTCAACCTCCAGTTGCAGAGGGGTGATCTCCTTCTCCTGTCCTTCTACTTCCAGAGGTTTCAGTTCCTTCTCCGTCGTGCTCCCTCTTCTTCTTTGGATCCTCCAATGTTTTAACCAAAACTCTTCCCATTTTCTTTCCTTGATTGTCACTTTTCATCAGAATTCCTCTCGGCTGAACTACATCTACTCTTCTTCGTCCCTTCTCTTTATTATTTGGACCACTGGGTTCTGACAGGGACCCAACGCAAACCAACAAGTAAGAATGACAGACAAAGCGGGCATGCCGGCAGGTGGGGGAGGCGGAGATGACGCAGGAAACATCATGGTGTTGCTGGAGCGCGTGGCGGGCCTCATGGACAGTGTCCAGACCACACAGCAGCGTATGGAGGAGCGTCAGTTGGAGCTGGAGAACACAGTGAAGACCATCCAGTCCGATGTCGTCAAGCTGACCAGCGACCACGCCAACACCAGCTCCACCGTCAACCGGTTGCTGGAGAAGACACGTAAGGTCAGCCGCCACATCAAGGATGTCAGGGTGCGTGTGGAGAACCAGAACATCCGGGTGAAGAAGGTGGAAGTCACCCAGGGCGATCTCCTGGCCAAGAACAAGTTCAGGGTGGTCATTTATCAGGTAAGATTCATTGGCTGGAAAAGAGTTACTGGTTCTTTATGATCTGTGGAAACGGACCTTCAACGTTCTGATGCTTTTCTACTTTGAACTGATCCAGTTGGCTGTGCGGAGGTTCAGCTCCTGAAGATACCTTGACACTGACGATGCTGAGCTGCCTTGTTTCATGTTCACAGTGCACAGAGGAGAATGAAACCCGGTGAAGATGTTAATTATAACTCGCAGCTGCAACTTGTTGAATTCAAATGTTTGATTATCACCACTAAAAAAGTGTAGAGAGGAAATCGCCCTGCAGGTTTTTCTTGCCATCACAGTTCTGATCTAAGGTGCTGGAGCTGTTGTGCTGTAAGTGACTGTGCCAGCTGAGCGCTGACGGACCAAGTTATTCTGAGTCTGAAGCTTCATCATCTCCTAATATAGCTGCCTGCTCTCTCTCCCGTCCCCTCTCTCTCTCCGGATTAGCTAACGAGGGTCTCTGGGTTATAAATCTTTCGTTAGCTGCCAATAGGCCGTTCTCGACATTTGGTTTGTTCTGAGTGACACCGGGTGTCAGTCGGACTGATGGAGGAAATCCCTTCGTCAGCTGGAGCTGAAGCTGTGGGGGTTCGACACATAACTGTGATGTCATGGGGCTTGTGACCTTTGACCCTTCCTCTCTGCAGCGAGGTCCTCGAGCCTCTTGTGTTCTGTTCCATCCTGTTTCTGTCCGAGCCGCTTCATTTGACTTCATTCAGTATTAGAGGAGACTCATTCTGTTCATCTTCAGGTTGATGATTTAAACTAAAATGTTTCCATTCGCTAATGTTCAGAATCACCGTCTTCAGACTGTCCATCGCTGCAGCTCCTCTTTTCAGCCTCTGTCTCTTTAACCCCCCCTCCTGATAATGCCCAGTCTGCTCTGATTGGTCAGCTGATCCACTCTATTCTGATTGGTCAACCCCTTCCAGAGCACGTACAAAGTGTCGGACTCTGCTCTCGCCTTACCTGGCTTTGTTAGGGGGCATGTCAGACATGCGTCATCATGCAGCTCATCCACACAGCTGCTCCAGGTTTTATAACGACTTCACGTGACATCACACTAATGCAGGAGTAGGGTGTGGTCTACTGATGAGGTAGAACTTTTGGCTTTTTTTTACTTTTTACTTTGCAGAATTTTTACATTCACAAATAAGAAAAACTGATCAGAGCGCGGCTGAAGACTGAAATGTTCAAAGTGACTAATCGAAGGAGGGGAGAGCATCAGCTGCAGTCCCCGCCTCCAACATCTCCAAATTCCACCTGTCAACTCGTCTGAGATTCTCTGACCAACAGGAAACTGTCTCGAAGCAGCAGCTCCACACGTTAGTGAGCAGTTTTTAATTTCTGTCAAAACATGACAGGAAACGTCAGAGTCACTGAACCAAGCAATAAAAAAGAGTCTCCACATTTCAGTTCATGGAGGAAAACCAGCTCAGACGTGTTGATCACTGAGCTGCAGATGTTGTAGCATTAGCATTATGCTACATGTAGCTCAGTTCTTCCCTCTGTCAAAGCTTCGCTAAATGTCAGCTGCACTATCAAATGTCACATCACACCTATGAGCTCCAGTTAGCATCATGCTACACACCAGTCAGCAAGCTAGCATGAAGATTAATTTGACTCTGTGTTCTGGCATGAAGGACGCTAAGTTTCCTCATGTTTCAGTTTCCTCATGTTTCAGTTTCCTCATGTTTCAGTTTCCTCATGTTTCAGTTTCCTCATGTTTCAGTTTCCTCATGTTACTGGATGAAAAATGAATTAAGAGTTTTTGGACGTTTTCTCACTTCTCACTTTTGTTTTGTAAACTGGAAGTTAAAGGTCCTCAACAGATTCATGAATCAGGCGTCAGAACAGCTGATCGTGAATCAAGCTCCTCTGACGTGAGGAAAGATCTGGGTCAGTTTGTAGATTCAGCTTCAACAGTTCTGCTGCATTTCATGTTGAGTGTAACCTGATCGTACAGTTAGAGACGTGCACGCCATGACGAGACCTGGAGCTGAAAGTGATCCAGCGTTTCTCTGTGCGCTGATATGTTTAGCATCCTGCAGCAGCGCCTGAGCTGCAGAAACAGGTGCTGCAGTTTATTTCTGGAGGCAGGATCAAGGCCTGTGCACGAACAGTCTGCATGAGACACTTTCCCCAAACACAGATTCAAACCTGACAATCAGACTTTGTACATCAGAATGAGAAGTAAACACTGGTTGTGTGTCTTATGAACATGATTCATTAATCGTGATATTCACTGAGGTTCATGCTCTGTCCTGTGTTCTCCTCCCTCAGGGCGACCAGGAGGTGAAAGCCGTTACACCCGGCAATGAGTCAGCAGAACCCAGTGGTGGCGCCAGAGGTGAGGTGGAACCGGACAAGTTCGAGCTTCCTCCAGAGTCGGACGAGGAGTACATGGTGGTGGAGGAGGCCGACTCATCGGCGGCCGGCCGCATGAAGAAAACGGGTCTGACTCGCATCGAGAGCTTCAAAGCCACTTTCTCCAAGGAGAACATGAGCAAGACCCGCGAGAACCTGGGCACCAGGGTCAACAAATTCGGTGAGCGCATCGTGACGGCCGAGAGGCGTGAGAAGATCCGTCAGTCAGGTGAGAGGCTGAAGGAGACCATCACCAAGAGCGTCCCGGCCAAGCTCAACCTGAAGAAGGAGAGGACTGTGGCGGAGGGCCAGGAGGGAGCCGAGGGCGCCACGGACGGAGCCGTGCCCATCCCCCCACCCAAGGGCCACAAGGGCAGCGCGGACGCTGCCAAGATGGCTGCCGACGAGGGCAAGGCGGAAGAGTCAGAGGTGCCGATATACGACATGAAGCAGTTATCGTAAATTGTGACAGTGACGAGATCTGGGGCGTTTTCTTTGGATGACTGTGACCACACAGAAGGAGCGATCAAAGTCTGTAGGGAGAGCGAATAATGAAGTTGAACTTTAGTTTGAAAGTGACTGAAGGAAGTGGAAAGAGCCGGTCACAGATCCGATCAACAACCAAACTGACTCCTGACATCACTGAGGTGACGCGAGTTCTGGACTCTTTTATTTCAATCATTATTGTTATTCATCAGAACATATAGAGAGAATCTTTTTATTTTAACACTGACTGTGGAGAAACCTTCCTCATCTTCATCTTCATCCTCTTCACTCTGCTGCTGCTCACTCGTCTCCACACGTTCTGACTGAAACGCTTTTAAAGAGACGTTTCATGGTGCGTTTGGTTTTGTAAAATGTTGAAGACAATGATTGAAGTGAAAATGTAAAAGAGTCAAACCTGAACTTCTGTGTGTAAACTGAACTAAATTAAACCATTTATTCTACTTTAATAGAAGCACAGGTTCAAAACCATTTCATTATTGAATGATTGAAAAGTCTTTAGTATTCATTGACCTTTGACCTGTGAGGAGTGATGACATTCTGCACTAGAGATGAATTAACCGCAAAAATAACAGTTCTTGATCGTTTTTGAAGGAAAAACATTTTTTAGTGTTTTTTTAGAGCAGGGAGCCGAACGACAGACCTGAGGTCCGAGCAGACCCTTTAATCCAATGTTGAATCTGCACACACATATCAATACAATATATTTCCACCTTTCAGTTTATTTTATTTCAGAGTATCTATTCAATTTCACAGCTCGGCCTGTTGAAGCACTGAAACTAGTTCATCGAGCTGCATCATCATCAGACTGTGTTTTGTCCCCAAACTGAAAATAAAGACGTTTCATTGACGTTCAGCTGGAAACGTTCAGTGAGAAACTGTTTTACTGTAATGCTTCCACACGTGATCAGTGTCCTGACATGTTGTGTAGACATGTTGTGTAGTCATGTTGT